GCATTTTGCGAAATTACGTTAAAGCATGTAATGATGAACGCTTCTTAATGGGATACCATCATTGTAGCGATGAGCATGGATCCAAGAAGCATTCATAGCATTTATGACCTGAAAGGCTTAAATTAGCAAGGATTAAACGAGCCAAGGCATGGAAGGAAATACTGCTGTCATGAATAATTTTAAATTAAACTAAAACTTAGTTTCAATTTTAAGTGATTTTGTATTTAAGATTATCATTAATTGTCGAAATAAAATTTAAATCTAATTAAAAAAATAACACAAAAAATACTTAAAAAATTTCACTTATTTACAATTCTAATTTTAATATTTTTAAAAATAATAAAAAGATTATGAGTCCTGTTATTCAGTGTTTTAAAGGCATTATTTAAAGAATAATAGATAATATATTTTAATAACTTATTAAAATATATATATTCTTGTAAGTTATTAAATCTTAACACATGAGTGGGCGAAAGCAGGCAATGCTGCAGCACCTGACAAATTTTTGAAGAGATGAGTTTATCCAAAAATTGAAAAGGTATATATAGAGACAGAGGGGAGAGACCGGTTGTACCATTAGAAGAGAGGGATACCTAAATTTTATAAAATAAAATAATATAACATGTCAGTATAAACACCAATAAAAAAACACTTATTCACTTGTGCAAGCTTCAAGTTTTTTTTTTTTTTTAATTTTTTTTTTTACATTTTACGATAATTTTTTTACTTGAAATTCTTTAATTAATATTCTATTGGTATTGATTAGTATTTTCTAAAGATTATTAATAGAATATAATAAAAGTATAGTCGTTACAACACCAATGGTACAATTGATTGTATCACTCATGACGCAAAGATGAATCAATATAAAAACAGAGTAAGCAACAAAATAAGCAAATAAGCAAGCTGGTATATTTTAAAAGGAAATAATAAATAATTAGAAAGAACATCATGATTACATATTTTACACTCTGGTTTCACCTATTTTTTTTATAAATATTTGGTATTATGCTCCTAAATTTGAGAAGATTATATATATATATTCTTTTTAAATTAAGGGTTGTAACTCTTTTAATTTCTTAAAATTAAAAGGTTTTTGTATCTTTTTCAAATAAATTACTAACTTTATTATCTATTAATATAAAACATAATTTCAGTTTTGACTTTTATAAATCTTAACCTATACAAAGCAGAGACCAAATATCATAGGCAAAGCTTTCACAATGGATTTCATTAACATTGTTATCACCCAAAAAACTAAACCCAACTTATCAAACAGTTAAGAAACGACAGAAGCAGATAGCAATTTTCTGTAAACATTTTCCAAGTCTTCATGAAAATGCCGCTCTTAATGCAAACAATGTAGTTTCTCACGGAATATGATTACATACCCCGAAAGTGGTGAGTGAAGCAAACAGGGATATCCTTTGGCTTTGAAACCGGTTTTTCACGGAACCTCTGTGCCTAATGATATTTTACAAGTCCCACATTGAAAAATGATGTATTCTTATTAATGGTTTATATATGCATTTTGGGGATGGAAACAACAAATTGGGATGTGGGTTGGATGCAACTTGTGGTTTGTGAAACCCTAAACCCTGTCTACAAAGAGATTTGGGGTCTTTATCCGGTGTTTCCCCCGTTGTGGTGAAAAAAAGAAACGTCGATGCCTTCACGAGTTGGATTCTGTGTTGAAAACTTGGGAGAGGTTTGCAGGTTGTGGTTGCCTACGTCATAAGTGACATGATGTCTCGCGATTCACTCTTCTCCTCACCTCTCTCCCCATCCCTTTTTCAATCTAATTCCACCAACTTTTTTAGAATCATAAAAAATGATTAAAAATAAAGCCTAGTTAGACTTTCATTTTTGTCTTTAATTTGAACTATGTGATTTTGGTTCACCAAATTTATTTCATATTAGTTAAGTATATTTTTAAATTTAGCAAATTTAGTCTATCTTTAAAGATTTTTATTATTAGGTAAACGTTTTCTTATGAGCTCTTCTAACAAATTGTGAATTGATATATTCCATCAAACTTTTTATAATGATAAAAAATTATCAATAATGAGTAAAAAATAATTAGAATTTAAGTCTAATAATTACAGTTTTTTTTTTTAATTTGAACTATATGTTAGTTTAGTTCACCAATTTCATGTAATTAAGTCTATTTTTAAATTTCAATAAACTTAAACTCTCAATAATTTTCTTCCATCTAAAACTATCATAGTCTCACTTTTCACTTAAAGTTTTATATATTGAATCGATTAGATTATTTTAAATATTAGTCTACTCAAAATATTAAATTTTATCTCCCAAATTTTAAATCAAAACTTGCTTCAAACATTAATCTCACCTTATAAAATCCTTTAACTTTATTAGAAACACAGAATAAGAAATTTCTGTTTCAAACATTAATTCCACGTCTTATAAAACGATTAACCAATTTTTTTATTTTTAAAATTATTTTATATCCCAAATTTATTGTTAAACTTCAAAATATTTGAATAGAAAATAAAATTTGAAAAATTTAGATAAAAAACAAAGTAAGACAAAATTTATTTATTTTAAATATAAATCTTAATTGAAAAAAAATTAAGAAATTTAAGTTACACGTAATATAAATTAAAACAAAAAACCAAAAAAGTAATCAAATGTAAAAATATCAAAAGAGTTGATCCTTAATACTCTGGAAAAAAATTATGTTGTGTTAGGTAATCAACCGCTCGTATTAAAGGCATCCCTAGAATTTATGCAATTTGAATGGAATAAACTAAACTGAGAGCTGAAGCTTTATGTTTGAGCTTTCGGTAGATTCCACACAAGAAATGCTACGTAATACGCCATGCCATGCAATTCAAATCTTCTCCTTGGCACTGCAATTCCCTCTCAATGTCAACGTAATCTTTGACCTTTAGTTTGTAAGGCATCTTATGCTAATTCAGTCCATTGATTTGGAATGCTTTATTGGCCTAAAATCAACCCAATGGTAAGAAGATATAATTCTTCAACCCTTTAATCACTAACCTTTGTTTCCACCTCAATATAATGGAACCCACCTCCATGTGACGCTCCTAGAAATTAAAACATTGATTATAGAGAGAGGGTGTGGGCATGAAGATTTGGTTCTTCAAGAGGCTGAGAAAGAAATCATGGAAGAGGTGGAAGCTTTTGGGGTCTACTTTCAAGTGGAAGAGGCCTTATTGGCCACTTTCCTTCATAGACTACGTGATTTTTAAGATTATGTTTGCGTTTGAGACTATTGTGTTAGTCTTTATGCTCTCTTTTTTCTACCTCTGGTTCGGCTGCAACTTCTAATTTTTCCAAATTTCTGTTCCGTGTAATTACTACAGGAACTTTATTTTATTTTTCTTTTAATGATATTTAATTTTTAAACCTTCGCTATTTGGACCATAGTCATGATAATGATCAATGAAGATAACGCAATCCAGCTTCGGCACCAACAAGTGTTATGTCATTTTGTTGTTTCTGGACCAGTCGTCCATCACATAGGCTTCATAATCATCGTTAAATTCATTGAAGCATTACAGTCAATAAAACTTAAAATCTCGACTTAGCTCACCCTTCATGTTTTTACATTTACAATATAAATTGACAATATTTTCTTTACCATTTTGAAAATTTTTTGTTTACTTTTTCCTTATTTACTTTTTTTATTTTCATTTCTAAATTCATGCAAGTTATGACATATTCGACTTTTTTGTTCTTTTTTTTTTTTACTCCTTTAATAAATAATTTCTGGTAGTTAATTTGACATGTGCATTCAGTGGTTACAATATCACGAGTAAGAGAATATTGTCTTGGATATTATGATGCAAGCATCAATCCAAAAAATTGTAACTATTTGAACTTAATCTTTTGTATCAAAGGATCGAGTTCTAGAAAAGAAAAAAATAATAAAATAAGAAAACTAAAATAAAAATAGAAGATTCTAAGAAATGAAAACAGACGTTGAAACTGGGAGAAGTGATTGAATAAGCTAGAATTGATAGGAGTTGATTTGACCCTTTTTTTTTTCTTTTCACATTTAACGAGATTTAGTTCCAATTCATAATTTTAATGGCTTGTCAACCCAATCCAATTTAACATCTTTATTTAATTCTTAACTAATGGTTAAATTCATTAAACTACTTAAAATTTAATTCTTTGACTCATTATCCCTTTAACTTAAATCAAGATCTATTGACACCAAATGTTAAAATTAAAATTTTACATCGCTTAATAACTTTTCATTGAGTGTAAAATTAACAAATTTAATGTTATATTGTCTTATATTATCTTACTAATTATTTTATCAAATTTTAAGCAATTTGAACATTTATAGATATGTTTAAATTTTTTTCATTTACTTATATTAAAAATATATTACCAGTTAAAATAAAGTAATGCGATAAAATATCAAATAATTTTATTTTTTTATGAAATTTTGTAAAGTTAATAATATGCTTAATAAAAAATTTCAAACCGAATTATAAATCATGAACTTCATGAGAAGTTATTAAGCTGTGTCAACGAATACCAAGAGAAGCATTTTAAATTCAATCCAAATATATATGCTTAAGTCATCACCCAGCACCCATCATCTGAAATAAATCACGCTTGATTTTTAAAACATAATTTTAATTTGTATAAAATTGCCAATTGTATTTAGACGTATAATTAACTATATTATAAATTTAAATAAATTAATATAAGAAAGGATGGGTAGATGTCAAGTTGTAACATTTTAACGTAGGAAATTGTATTGTGTAAAAAAAAGGTGATGGCTTTCTACACAAAACAATTTCAATTTCACCTTTACGGGAGTGCTTCCACATTCAAAGGACTTAAAAGAATAATTTTTACTCGCTATTCGCTAACCGCCTGAGGAAATAAAAATATTACAATTTGATACCTATACGGGAGAATGTTATCCCATTATCAAGCCTATTTTAATCATTTCAAGAAACGATTTTCACAAGAGGAATTAAAATAAATTTTTACTAATTCTAAATAGATTATTATAGCATTTTATTTGAACTTGTTTAAAATCTAATAATGCAAGATAAAATCGAGTTAATATAATTTATTGACAACAAACCAAAAATTTCCCGTTTCCGCTGGAGAAAAAAACTTTACATTTCAACCAAATAGCATACAAAATTTACAGTCGCGTTGGGCATACAAAATATGCCTTCAGCTCCTCTAGTGGATTAGCTCTTTGATCTTACATTCAATAAAGGACCCCTATCATACCCACTCAAAGTTTGTTTCTTTCGGCAAAACTAACGCGATTAAGCAATCTGACGGTTCAGGTGCAATAGAGAGCAAAGAGCACGTTTCAAGTGAGTAGGGGAGAATGAATAGTAGCCTTGCCCATATGGATTTTGAAGCTGGAATTTTAATAACCCCAGCACAATCTCTCTGCTTTAAGTATGATACGAAGTCCTGAAACTGATTGATAGAAGTAAGGTCAACAACAGCAATGGGATTGTGTTACAGGGCAAAACACACTTCAATTTGAACTTACAAATGTTCATAACAGTAACATCTGAATGATTAATAATGTCAAAGTGTAATTTAAAAATAAAAAATAGAGCACCGTGAGAGGGGATGGATGGATTAGATTTATGACCAAATTAAGATTATATTATCTCTCAGCAAGAGTTTATGACCCCTAATTCCTTGCTCAGAGTGGACTTCAGCAAAAACTTGTGCAAAATTTGTCAAGGGTTTCTAAACATAATATACCAGAACTTGTGAGATAATTTGGTTACTCCTGGAAGCCTCGGTAACAGTACAGATAGCTAAACTAAATCCTCTACAAGATTCAGTGAACAATTCTAATAGACAACACCATCTAGAAATCAGAAAGAAACAAGGATAAGAAAGCATACCCTCCTGTGGTCACTTGTGGATGATGGGATCAGACGGCACACTTCCCTCTGCATCAGAAATCAATACCAAGAAGTCAGATTCAGGGAACGGAAGGGCAATGCTGACAACAACGTGCTTTAAAATTGATGTTGTATCCACATCATAATTATATAAAATACTCACATGATATAACTGACTCAATATGAGAACTTGGCAGCATGCTTATCTACAAATCTCTTATGAATGTTTTCTTTAAATGATGAACGAATCATCATCATAGCAAAAATATAACATTTTTATTTAAAATTGACTATGATTATGCCTTTTCAATGAATTTGGCAGGAGATAAAAATCCAGCAATAATTCCATCATGCTGTCAGCTATATAAGGAAAAAAAATAAAAATAAAAAGTAAATTAATAAAATATAAGCAGTATATAAGTATAATTATTTTACTTAATACATAAACTTGTATACTTCACAGCCCACAAATTTTGATCTCATGAGTTCAATCACTTGCCTTGTTTTTTTAACTATTAATTCCGTCATCTTCTATTCGTTACTGCATCATCTCTGAATTCTCCTCCCTCCCCCCTCCCTTCTCCATCACAAGTTACTTGATTATTGTTATTGATACACAATACAGAAAAACACTTGCTGTCCCAAAGACAAGTTTCCTACAGAGAGAATTCCCTGTCCACAAACAACATACAACAACTCCCTTCCCTAATTACACAACCAACTATCAAATATACCCAAATACATTACAGAACTGCCATCAGTTATTTCCTATAAATAACTTGTGAATATTTATATTGTAGTTTTTGATAGTGCCAAAAAGCAAATAACAAAATGGTGGAAGTACAATAGCATGGAGCATCTTGAAGGTGATCTTTTTGTTAAAAGGTTTTTATTTAATAAGATTATTTGGCCGTTGTTAAGTTAGTTAAAGTTTCTTTTAACTAAGTTCTTTTTTGGAAAATATAGAACGTGTTTGATTCTAAGGAAAATTTGATTTGAAATGATTTAATTATTTTTTAATTGAAGATTTTGATTTGATTTGTGAAAACACATCTTTGAATTGAAAGGAAATGTTTGAAAGCTGTTTTAAGAATAAAAGAGTGACTTAATGTGTGTTAAAACTTTAATTTTTCAATTTTTGGAATTGTTGTAATCGATTACCATGTTGTTCATGTGCCTAGAATTTGAAATTTGATTGATTACACAGACTCTGTAATCAATTGCGAGAACTCAACTGTTGTCTGAATTCAAAATTTGAACGGTGTAATCAATTACTAGACCCAGAAATATGCAAATGGATGTGTTTTAAAGAGATACATCTTTTGGGATTAGTCCGCAACGGTCTACACAATTTTTGTATACCCATCATTTAACACATTTTAAAACACAAAAGCATATTGCAAAGATCATTTTAACAATCATTCTCATTTATCAATCATTTGTTCAATACTTAGACAAACACATTTATTCTTGAGAAATCTTTTAGTACTTAAATTTGTAATACTTCCTCTAGTCGAAGAGTAATTCTTGTATTCTTTTATTGAGATTGTGTAAAGGGTGAGGTATCCCTTGTTAGAACAAGTGTATGGTATCTCTTGGTTCTTGAGAGACTCAAATACAAAGAGTGAGGAATCTCAAAGTGTAAGAATGCTGGATGTAGGCCACAAGAGGTGACCCAAAAAGTATAAGCTGAGTTTGCATTCTCTCTTCCCTAATCTCTTTACATTTATTGCAAGTTTACTTTTTATTGTCTTGCTTATTTATATAGTTAGAACTCTTGATCACTTGCAATTTGATCTTTTCAATCAAGTCTTCGATAGATTAGTGTATAATAATAAAGAAAAAGTTTGAGAACTCAATTCACCCTCTCCCCTTGAGTTCATTGAAGCCACTTGAATAACATAACTGTCATCAAGGTAGTTTCTAATTCTAATACACAACAATTAATGTAGGATAACTTATTCTCTATCACATTTTCTAATCATACTTCTAATCATACATTACTCCTAATTTCTACACATAACTTCCAACATGACAGTTAATATTACACTTATAATACAAGGCTGCTCCAAACAGTAATTATCAATTCCCATCATTTTTATTATTAACTATGAGTATATCCCATCATACAGTGTTATTTATTTTAAGCATTTTATGGTTTGCACATAAAGGAGGAGGGTTATGTTAGGTCTTCAGCAGCCAACGTAAAACTTGTCGAAGCATTTTATATGAATCACACATGACGATATTGTGCTAGGGCTATGTTGTAGTATGGCTTGAGTACAATGTCAAATGAACTAGAACCGCTGCATTGGTGCTTGGATGTAGTATTAAATGAGCAAGGGTTCTCACACTTAGTTGGGCGAATGTGGATAAAGAAATTAGTCTAGAAACACATGTTTAGGTTTGGTTTATGGAATATTGGTACTTTAACAGGAAAGTCATTAGAAATGGACACTATGATTCGTAAAAAGATTAACATCATGTACCTTCGGGAAACAAAATGGCTTGAAAATAAAAATAAAGTTAAGGAGCTTGATACTACTGGTTTCAAACTCTGGTAAAGAAAAGTCAAGGGATAGAACGAAGTAAGCATAATTGTGGATAAAACTTGAAAAAAAAATATAATAGAGATCAAAATGATTGGAGATAGGATTATGTTCTTGAAATTATTGTTTGCACAAGACACTATTAATATCCTTAGTGCTCATGCTCCACAAGTTGGATCTGAAGTCCATTTGAAAGCAAAGTTATGGGAGGATTTAGAGGAGTTGATCCAAGCATCTTACAAACTGAAAAGATTTTCATATGTGGAAACTTTAATGAACATGTTGGTTGTGAAGCAAGATAATTTCCAAGTGTTTATGGTGGTTTTGGTTTTGGAGAGTTAAATGAGAAAGGACAATCTATCATTGATTTCTCAATGTCCTACGACTTTAAAATCATGAATACTTGTTTTAAGAAGAGGGTGAAACATCTCATCACTTTTAAGAATAGAGTTTTATTTAAGGTCACAAATCAATTTTTTCCTAGTGAAAAATCTAGACAAAGGAATTTGCAAAGATTGTAAAATGATTCCATGTTTCTACATAATATAGGGTCTTGGGCCTTGATGTTTGCTTTAAAACTAGTAAACAGAAAATTCGACAAGCTAGTATTCTAAGAATTAAGTGGTGACTGCTTAAAAGTGAGAAACTATTGTGACTTTCAAAGGTAGTTAGGAGAAGAGGGTAGTTGGTCGACACAAGGTAGTGCTAAAATCATTTGGGACAATATGACTATGGAGGTAAAAAAAGTTGTCAAGAAAATTTTAGGTGAATCTAGAGGTTTTAGACCAAAAAACAAAGAATTATGGGGGTAGAATGAAAGTGAGCATGAGAAGATTAAAGAGAAAAAATGTGTTTTAAAACTTTGCATACATGTAATAATGCTGAAAATTGGATAAGCTATCATAAGGCAAGAAATGAAACAAGAAAAACAGTGAGTGAAGCACGTTCTAAAGCTTTTGAACAGTTTTATCAAGATCTTGAGACAAAGAATGGGGAACAGAGGATTTATAAACTTGTCAAAAGTAGAAAAAAAAAAATCTAGATATTTAGATCAAGTTAGATGTATTAAAGATAAAGGAGAAGTTTTGGTTTTAGATCAAAACATCAAAGACTGATGGAAGAAATATTTTTATAAACTTTCTAATAAGGGATAAGAAGCAAGTAAAAATTTAGCAGGATTATAAGTGCAAGCAAACAAGCTAAATTTGACATATTACCGTAGGATTTAAGATAGAAAAGTAAAAGAAACTCTTAAGATGATGGAGAATGAAAAAGCAGCTGACTCTGATAATATAACAAGGACTAGAGTAACTCCCTAATCCCTTTAATAAGATTTTGAGATCTAAGAATATGTCAAATGAATGGAGGAAGAACCCTTTAGTTCCTATATACAAGAACATGTGCGATATCTACAATTGTGTAAACTATAGACAGATTAAACTCATGAGTCATGCTATAAAGTTGTGAGAAAAGGTGATTGAACATAGAATACGGGAGAAAACTAAAATGCCAAAGCTGATAAGATAGAAAAATCTATAATAGAAGATGATGATGAAATTGAAAGCATTATTAGAGATGGAGTGGAAGAGGATGAACTAAGTGACATAGATCTTGGGGATGATGAATGATCATTCATTATCCATTCGAACTTTTGCTATAGTGATTTGCTGTCATGTTTTGTTTATCTCTTTGAAAGATTATATGTTGAATTTAAACAGTCACTTTTTTTGATAATATGACTGAGTATTATGATTTGAATCTTAGTTTGCTTACAAGTGTATGTCACATTGTTAGTTATATACTATTTATTTTAAAATATTAATATATAGATATTTTTTTATGTTAAAATGCTCTTATATATATGTTTTTTATGTTTTAAATTATTGACGATTCAAGATACGATTCAAAAAACAGGTCTTACAATTTACAATTTGAATTCTGATTTAACTACCTTGTTTGTAACCATAAAGTACTTATCAAGCTGAAAAAAAAATTTTAATATACTACAACATGACCAACCATCCTATATGGCAATGAATATTATACAACAAACTATCCTATATGAAGTGAATGTTGGGCCTTAAAGCAACATGAGAAAAAAGTGGAGGTGACAAAAAAGAGAATGCTACAGTAGATGAGTGGATACATGAGAAAAGCCATAATACAAAATAATAATATATAAGAAAATATTGGAGTAACACCTATAGTGAAAATTTATGATTGAGAATCGTTTAAGGTAGTTTGGTCATATGCAGAAGAGACCTTTATAGGTGCTAGTAAAGAGAGTGGATTGCAAGACTTAATCCGGTAAAGAGGGACAAGAGAGATTCAGAAGAATCTTAAGACGAAGTTATTAGAAGAGACTTATTGATTAACCATAACCATATTTTTGATCCATGTAGCCAACCTCACCTAGTAAGATAAGGCTTGGTTGTTATTATTGTTGTATGGTTTGCACATGATCTACACATGATGTCTACCTGAAAGTCATAATAATCAATCCTAGATAGCGCCATGGAGCGATTGACCCCAAAAATGCTATTGCGAATAGCTGGATGACTGCTATTCTGAAGTTGTAAGTATACATAATATAAAGCTACACATATATATGCTGAAAAATATAAATTAATATCTAAAACAAAGCAGGAAAATAAATACAAAGAAAGAAATAAAATACAAAGAAGGAAATAAAAAGCAGAGAATTAGTCCGTCATTGGAAAACGTGCAGGTTTGCTGGAAGTTTGGTTGGAGATGAAGATTATTGGAAAATGTTTGGGTCACATTGGAAGCTTCGCCAAAGTTGAAGAAGACGACTGGAAAGATGAAGGACATTGAAAGCAAGAGAATGTCGAAGAGAACGAAGATGAGGAAAAACAGAACCGGGGAGAACTGAGAGATGAGAATGAGAACTTAGGGCTCGCAAGGTAGAAGATATCAGAAATGTAAAAGAAGGGCAAAATCCCAAGATTAACCCCATTTAAAGTCGTCCAATGTTTAGAAAGGGAGGGCAAAGTCAGGTTTTGGCTAGGGATGAAATAGCAGCTGTGATGGCCGCGATTCTCATGTGATTTGGCAGGCGAGATGTCTGCTGCACTGAAACACGACGCTATAAGCTCCTCATAATTGCAACCTGTTGGTCCACTCCTCTGCAATAACAGCCGCTATTGACTACTATGCTTGAGACAACATATTGCAGCTCAACCATAAATCTTCAAGTTGTGGCTAAAAGCAACATAATTCAATCTAGTTCTACTCTTATTCTTTTGCATTGAATTGATCCATTTTTACACACAAACTACAAATAAGCTCTCACACTATCAAATTGTAGACAGGCAAGCCAGACAATAACAAAGGAGAGAGGATTGCAAATCAGAAATTACATGAGGACCAAATCATGCTAGTTGTGCTTGTGTATGCTATAGTATCCTCGAGTGACAAAAACCTAGGAATATAATCAAAGAATGCTAATCTAATGAAATGGCATGACAAAAAGTATCACTTCACAAATTACTCATACATTTCATGACATAAATGAGTGAGAAAGCTGGAGAGGGGGAGAAGCCAAAGGATGTTTGGAAACTCACTCTATGAGATGGAGTAGCAGCAAATGTTGATTTTACATGTCGAAGATCTGTGCGTTTTGTCATGTCTAATTTTGTGGGCCACCTGCATCAGAGAAAGAAATCTAAACTAACATCCAATTTGAAGAAAATAATATCTGACCAATAAGGAAGCAATAATTGATGTCTTACTCAGCAGGCTCAGGGATGGCATTTGAATATCTGCAAATATTTGAATCTGCTCTAAATGCATAAATTGTACAGTAGTTAACCCCACTTTTACAGAGATTCCCCTGCCATTGATACTGAAGATATTGCCCCGAACATTCCATATTGACTGATTCTTGGACAGGCAGTGGTGGTGGTGGAGGAGGAGGAGGAGAACCAGGTGGTGGAGGAACCAAGGGTGGCTGAACCTGGGGCAAAGGTGGTGGAGAAGGAGGAAGTGGGGGTGGCATTTCAGGCTGAGGGGGTGGCAAGGATGATAAAGGTGGTGGTATAATTGATGGAGGCACCTGCTGGTTATAGGTTTGCATTGGAGTTACTTGTATCTGAGCAAGTGGAGTTACTGAAGCAGGAATAAAAGGAGTTACAACAGCACTACCATGAAAATTATTCGGCATTACTCCCATCTTGAATTGGTTGGCAGGTAAATGATTGTTTATTCCCTGAGGATCCCATTGGCCATTTGGAGGAACATAAACAGGGCGAATGAAAGGAGATGACTGAATTTGTTGTGGTGGTGGGATGGATGGTCCATGTGTTCCTGGGTGTGAATGTGGAACATTACCTAGCGTAGAATGGACTCAATTTCAGAAACAGGCACAATTGTTCACCAGAAAACAGCATATGTACTTAACTTAGTTATTCAATCTATAATTTCATAACAAAGAGCTGTCCTCACAGACATGCATAAGGAAAAAGGAATTCATAGAAAAAATTTTCACCTTAATCATTCATAGAATATTACCTCCTTGATGAGGATCCAGTGATAAATTATCATAACCATCAGGTTTCCTTGCTCCAACCTCTGACATCTCCCTAGAACCAGGAAAGTGCCAGTTTGACTGAGACAACGGTGCACCATGTACTCCAATGGTATGATTCTCAGAATTTATTCTTGGGGATACAAGCTCCATAGAATTGTTCTCTGGTTTAACTGGAAATGGTACAGCATTCTGATTTCCAGGTTTGCTGTATAAAATAAGAGGGAAAAATAACTGTAAATCAGCACACACTATTAAATTATCCCGAGGACTTACCATTACACATAAAATAGTTCAAAATCAATAGACAATGGTGTAGAAAAAAATTAAATCTACACTATGGAGAACTGATGTAGATTGAGTAATTTGGTTGTTATTTATTTAGGATTTTAATTTAATAATTAGGAATTTTTATTTGGGATTAGAAAAAAGAGAAATCAAAGATTTGTATAGAAAATAGAGAAAACAATAAGTTTTTGCTGTTTCCTGTACAAATTTTTAAAAATAGGAAACAATGAAAACTAATGTGATATTTTCGTAATTAAAAATCAACACAATAAAAACAAGAAACATTTTCTTAAACCAAACAGCACCTTAAAGTTTTAGGTACAATATCGATCATTTCACCAAATTTTATATCAATGAGAAAATTATATTAATACTTCTAATATTTTTGAAAAACTTTGAAATAATATAACTATTAAGAAACATGAGCCTAACTCACTCCCAAGTGTTAGTTCATAGGAAGAGGATTGGCCAAGCTTTTATAAAAAGTATTTTAATTCTATTCTTAACCAATGTGAGACATCTTAACCCTCTCATACCCAAGACTATACATCTAGTGTGTGATGTTTACAGGACTGGACATTCTGATATCATATTAAGAAGTTCAGATCTAACTCACTCTCAAAAGCTAGTTGATTGGAAGAGGATTGCCCAAGCCTTCACGAAGAGTATTTTAGTAAATAAATCATTATCTTCACTCTGATATTTCACACCAAATTCACATAATAAATCATTTTTAGTTTTTCCTATAAAAGAATGAGATTTTTAGTAATCAGATTTAGTATATTTTACACTTAAGTCAAATCACACATGCAAATAGTCAACTTGCTACTTTTGGAGTCTATGCATGCACATTATAAAATACAATCTTTTATACCTGAATTCTATCTGGAAGAATGATCCTGGACAACCACGGAGATTCTTTAGAACAGAAACTGCACCATCAACATTACTACATTCAACAAACCAACCACATCCCATCTGCATGTTTGCTTGTGTCAACCGCACAATGGATCCAGAGTTTCCAATGGCAAGATTGCAAATGGCCATCAACTCATCATCTGTGAGAAGCAAAGAGCTACTACGTGAAATAGTTATGCAGAGAGTGCTGGACTGCGCTGTATCTACATCACGCATGGAAGGACAATTATTTCCAGTCATATAGTTATCATTAAAACCTATGTTTTGATTAATATTATACTTTGTACGCAATGAAGCAAGTAAGGAGGACAAGTGGGACATTCTTGTTCGATTGCTGTCAGCCGGGCTCCCAGATAGAGTTCGAGCATGAGGTGATCCAACAGGATTGTTGACTTTAACATCAAGATGGAGAGGGGCAGATACAGACCTTGCACCATCCATATAAGCATGCCCAATTCCAACATTACCTGTTCCTGGGCCAAAATGCTTATTATAGTTACTTCTTTCTCTTCGAAGCTGTCTCAAATGCAACATGACAGTGGCAGCTTCTTCAGGAGTTTCAAATTCCAAAAGTAGTGCAAATTCACAGCTTAGATCAATGACTGCAAGAGGACCCTTGTGGATCACTTTCCTAGATTCATGAAGGATCTCATCCTTGGCCCATTGACTGGGAATATTTCCCACATAAATATGAGAACTAGACCCAACAGCAACACCATTCAATGCACCCCTAGTTCCAAGTCCTATATCCATGAATTTGACACGGCAAGGAAAACATCCAGGTAAACAGTATCGAGTTTTTATCGCATCAATGATCCTTCTATACTCAACCAAGGCAAATCCTTTTACTGGAAAGAAAATAAATTGTTCAATAGGACCAAACCTCTCTACGTGAAACCTAATATGACTTTCAGGTACATCAGGTCCTACACAACCTACCCATAGCTGCTTAGAAGCAGAGAGAATATCCATGGCTGCAGGATCACCATCACAGCACCAGACAATTTGACTTTTTGTTGAAGCAGTTGGGGACATAAAATGATGATTAGGAGATGCCAAAGAATTACTAACAGATCCACCAGAGGACCTCAATGGAGGTGAGTTAAAATTCATATTTTGGACTTGATTTTTCTCAGCATTGGGGAAATCATTTCTGCCTTCAAATGAATTACTCCTAAAGTCTACAGGTGTTCTAACTGCAGGAGAAAATATTTGATGGCTCACAGAGTCCCTAGGTGTGGAACATCTAGCATTAGGCATATTCCCTTCCTCCCCCATCCCAATGCCCATGGGCCTTGAGACTCCATTATCGAAATGTGAAGCCACTTTAGGTACAGGAACTTTGTCAAGAGAAACAGCAGAGCTACTAGCCATCACATGTTTATCAGAAACCTTGTCAGTAAAACCATCATTAGAAGAACCAACATGAACTCTTAAATTGCTGCCTTTTCCAGATGATTCACTAATGCTTTCATGTTCCTCAGATATCGTAGTAACCACATAGTTCCTATTCATGTAAGTTAAAGAATCAGATTTATCTTCATCACTATCTGCCTGACAGTCTTCCAAATCTGTTTGTTGAGCAAGTATTCCAAGAATTCCTTGCACTACTGATGTAATCTCCAGTGAAGCATTACTAAGCAAGTCAAGTAACTTCCTACATCTACACAACATCCATTTCTGCAGTGAGGGCTCCTTGTCAAAAACCTGTAGAGAACGGCCACAAAATGTCTTAGTAAGAAGCAACCAGAATGGCAATTCTTAATTAAATAAAAATAAGCAAAAGCACCATGTTTTAAACAATCGTTCTTCAGAAAAGAAAATTGCATTACATCGTGATATTACAATCAAATACTAAGCATAAATAATATTTTGCCTCAATGAAAACAAGGAATTAAGAAGCGACGCTGACAAGATGTATGTACAAAAACTTAAATTTCTACCAAAATGGGAAGAATTTGATACAAATCACAAACTTATTTATGAAGAATTGTTCAAGTTTTCATGTGGATGTCATGATACAGATAACCAGCATAACCACAGCAATGAAAACAAATAAGGTTAAATTAATAATTTCATCCTACTCAACACCATTTTTCGTTTTAGTCCCTACATGATAAAACCTTACATTTTAGTCCTCACATAAAAAACAGGTTTAGAATAGGTGCTGCTGTATGCCAGCATTATAACAGTGTCAAATTTGGTCCCTATACTTCATGTTTTTCATTTTACACTCTACACAAAATATTCCAGTTCAACAAGGGAAAAAAAAACTCTACATCGTTATAACTTCCACTAGTGGCAGGGATAGATTTGTAAATTGCTTTTCATCAGGGACAAACAAAAACCTGTTCAGCACAGCAATCAAATAATTAATTTTACCTATAAATAAAATATTTATGATCAGACATCCACAAAAACTCTTCCTTAAAAAAGTAAGGAGGTACAATAAGTATTTCAAGTTTTAAAACCATCAAGCCAAATGAAGTTATTGGGGTACAGATCACCAAACGAAAGCTCATGCATGACAATGATGATTAATTTATATGTTGCACCACTATTATAACCTTACAACTACATTTGACGTTGATCCTCTAGGGGGATAAAAAAAACTTAAGATGCCATTTAGTTGATAGTATCTTCCAAAGAAAAATGTTAAATTAGTGTTAGGCTCTAGTACTTTCACTCAATTCTATTTAGTCACAATGGTTTTCAAACAATGCAAAACAGTCCCTATTCATTGAATTTGTTCCCTGATTAGTAATAAATTATAGGAATAGAAACAGTCCCTATTTATTTGAATTTGGAGTGAAACTATAGGGACCAAAATAAATAATTCAACATTAAAATGAAAATCAACACCACAAATTTATTGAAACTGGGACGTAAAACCTATGCACAATTTCTAATTTTCTACTCAACTTCATTTCTAGAAGTTGACAAGATATTGCTCGTTACTTTTATCTTTGATTAAAACTAATTACAAGATGAGTACTGCTTATAACCATACAAACGAAAATGAATGATAAACTAATCACTAATTTATGCTTACTAATCTAGCTTTCCTGTTTTGCTTATATACAACAGTCATATCACTTAAAAGGAAATAACATCTTCTTTAAGTTGAAGATTCATTCATTTAACAATAACATCAGAGAGGTATTATATGACAAACAAGCTTGAGCATTGAACAATGTTATCAATGGCAGATGACTGATCCATGGCGGACAGCCAAAAAATTTCCATAAAAGTATGGCCGATGCCATGGCAGGTTATGGCAAAAGCATGATGGTCATAATAAAATAGTATAATATATATATATATATATATATATATATTATATCTGCAAAAAAATATATAAAAAGAAAATGCAGAATGTGATATAAAACCAGAAAACTAACTACATATGAAAGAAAGAAGGAAGGTTTTGAGAAAAAAGGAATAAAATAGTGGTAAAACAGAAAAAGGCTGAAATTGAGACAGAAGAACAGAATAAAATGATAAAAATAGAGAAAGAAACTTGGAAGTGAAAACAGAAAAATAGAATCAGGAAAAACAAAATAATAAGGAAAAGGAGAGTGAAACAGAACGGGAGAGCGAAAAACAATGGAAACAAAATAGAATAGGAGAGAGAAAAATGAAGAAAAAAGGGAAACTGAAAACCAAGGAGAAGAAAAAGAGAAAAAAAAAAAAAGAGAAACGAAATTGGGGAGGGCAATAATAAAGGAAAAAACAAAAAAAGCTCACTCACCAACAAAATAGACTTGCCGGCGCAGTGACAACAATAGTAGCCAGAGATGGCAAGAGTGGCAGTCACTGGAGATGGAGGCAGCAACAGACGCCACCAGAGACAAAGTTATGGTGGTTGCCGACCTCAAGGAAGGAGAAGAGACTGAGAAACATTGAGAATGAGAAAGGAGACGTCGAGGACGAAGAAGAGAGAGATGTGAGTTGCAATTTGTGAGAGGGAGAAGATGTTGTTTTAGGGTTTTGGTACTTGCAGGCTACTCAGGACCGCATTGGGTCGGGTCAGAGGCCCATTTCATTTTTTAATCAAAAATCAACAATTTCCCCTATGGCCACCACGTGTGTAACGGCCACCACGGCACATCCATCCTGAATCTACCATTTTCCAACATGGTTGTGGCGGATTGAGCGAAAAACACCACCGACATACGCAATGGCACCATTATGGCCATTATTTGACAACACTGGCTTTGAACTTGGGTCAGGTCAGGTCGGGTCAGAGGCCCATTTCATTTTTTAATCAAAAATCAACAATTTCCCCTATGGCCACCACGTGTGTAACAGCCACCACGGCACATCCATCCTGAATCTACCATTTTCCAACATGGTTGTGGCGGATTGAGAGAAAAACGCCACCGACATACGCAATGGCACCATTATGGCCATTATTTGACAACACTGGCTTTGAACTTGGACCAATCATATATAGAAGGCAAGCCCTCGAATCAACTGTACATCTCTGATACATGCACAACTACTTTAAAACGTCTCTACTAATCATTTTAACAATAGATGATAGTATAGATGCAACTCTTACAAGGGAGACAGTGAATTAGGAAAAGAACATTTTTCCTAGCTAGAAAAATAGTTTTCAGAATAGGCCAATAATAAAGTTCACAATAGACTGCAATTTATTAGAACAGACAGGTTGTAAGACAAAAATATAAAATATATGTCACTTAAAAATGATATCAAAATAAGAAGATAACAATTATGAAGTATTACCTGTGTAAGCAAGCAGTTCTTTTGAATAGATGAATCACCACCAGAAACATGGTTGTTTTCAGTCATAGTTTCCTCACCAGTAGAATCTGTACATGATTTAGGTCCACCAATTGCTCTATCCAAAAGGTTAACTGCTTCATCATCATCAAATGTCCTAGTCACAAGGCTCAGAAAACGCTGTCCTTCACCATTAGCTCCCTCTTTTGAGGCAGAGCTCAAGAGCTCCAAAGAAGCTGCAAGCAAATCTTTAGGACAAGAGAAGAATATCCAAAGCAGACATAATATGCAGAATTTGGACAGTTTAGTCAATGAAGATTCATCTTCATCTAAAACCTTTTGCTTCAACTCAGAAAAGACCTCAGGGGCATCTTGCATATTCAGGAAAGTCTTGTCAATCATCTGTAGAACATCCTTTCCTTCAAAGAAAGCTATAAAAAAAGTAAGCACGTTCTGAAAAACTGCTGAGCAAATTCCTCTAATTACAGCTGATGTTGGTCCTACCGATGAAGCAATGCAGCAAATATCAGCCAGGCCAAAAATACAGGCTCTAGCAGTTTCAAATGCAATACCACTCGAATCCTCTCCTCTACTGATCAATGCCAAACTCAAGTTATGCATATTAATAACAACTTTAGCTGCAGCTTCCAAAGCTGTTGGACACTGACTTGCGTATCGAGGAATAAGATTGGCCACAATTCTTTGTACACTCATACAACCTGTTAATTATAAAATTTTCATTGACCAAGGGAGAATTCCAATCATCAAGATTTTTTTGTCGGTTCCTTCAATTATTGGCAATAGAACATAATTTGCTTGCACATTAAGCACTTAATCAGGTGATAAAACTGCACAAAGTACAGTAACAAATTTCTTTTTGCTTGTCAAAAATGGAAATTTGAAAGAAAGGTACACATATGGGTGAAACAGGGGTTTATGTGGGCCCAATTTTACTTAAATGTGATCAAATTCATGTACTATTGCAGCAACCACTGATATTTGACATTAGGAAACATGATTATTATTGTCAATGCAATTGCAATGCAGAAGTCCAAACAGAAGCAAGTTTACTATTAAAATGGCTTTATTTTGGGCTTGGCCCAAAATGCAAACCGACTTGTGTCCCATTTTGGAAGTATGCAATCAAATAGTGCAAAAACAATATGTAAAAGGTAATTTCTACAGTGCCTTGTAAATCAAGAAGGCATTTTATGCCCTCTCACACGTAAAATAATTATTACCGTTAATTTTATATTAAATATGTACAACAAATAGTAGGGGTTAGTGGTTTCTTTAAAAAAGAAATAATTCTTAATTTTTAAAATATTAGAGAAATTTTAACCGTCAATTTAAAGAGGACATATCTCAAGTTTATGAACACATTAGCAAGCAACTATTTAAAAAGCCACAATAACGAAACAAAACACAATAACAAAGTTAAAAGCATACTTAAATAGCCAAATCATATTATGACAATGTGATTTTGGCGCCCTAATTCCAAATGTGGTATTTCTCAACTGGTGGAGAAGGATTTCTCTGCCACAGTAAATGTGATTTCTCTTTGATTTGCTGAACTCATAGAATCAGGTGTAAACTCGCAAGTTTACCCGTTTTATCTAAAAAAGAGTTTACATGCAATTTGAGAGATTTGGCAATATTCACCATATGTCTGGACATCTTTTGCCTCAAAAGAGTATCTGAAATAAATGAGTTACAAATCCTAATAAAAGTGACAAGAATAAGACTTCTAAATCGCGAGACATCATCATGTACAAAACAATTTCAACATGAATTGAATTATCGAGCAATTTCCAAACAAAAAGTAAATTATTCTTTCATTTCAAATACTCAAAACATAGGGTTAACCGTGTGCAAGAGCAGTTAATTGCAGAAATGTTCACCAAACCGAGTGAATTCATGCAAAAAGATTCCCGGCAAAGATTCCTAAACGGTATTCCATACAAACACTCCTCTCCGGCAAAATCCACATTCCTATTACGATCAAATGTTACCTCTGGAAGAAGCGATGAGAGCGAGATAACTTTGTTCAAGGTCAGACATGGAGGTAGCGTCTTTCTGAAGCAAGCAAAGCTTAATCCGCTTGTAACCTTCGTACACGCTTCGAATTTCATCCTTGTTTCGCCGCTTCGCAAGAATCTCCTCCTGAGACGGCGTGGGTAGGGTTTGCGGAGAGGGAGGGGATGCGTCGGTTGCCGGCGGTGACAGTGGCGGAGGGGAAGGCGGTTGTGATTTCGGTAAAGGCTCGTAGAGCTTTCGCTTCTTCGGAGGCTGCTCCACTGAGGCCATGGCGAGTGACCACTGGACTGGGCTCAGAACTCTCCGCCGCGATTTTTGGGTAAATAAATTTTCGGTGTTAAATTTGTTTTTAAGGAAACAACCGTTTATTTTTATTCATTTTTAAAAATTAAAATTACGAGTTTTTTTTCTTTTCTATATACACCATAATTAGATTAAATTACACACATACTCATCTTCTTAAAGTGAGACAAATATAAAATTTGTGTAAGTATTATTTTAAGCATAACATTTTTATTTACTTTGTAACTAACTATTATTTTTTTAAATCAGACATATAATTGATAAACAATTATTATAATACTATTTAATTTGAAGGTTCCAGATAAATTAGTACGTTAAGTAACTCACAAATAAGTTAATAAAATGACTTATTATAACAAATTTTAAAAATTTAAATAATTAAAAATTAATTCTTAATAAATTTTATCGATAAAAGATATTAATCTTTTAAAAATTTAAAATAGACTTTTTTAAACTTAATTATTTATAAAGCTGTTATAATTTAAGAAAGAACATGATTTTTCATTCATATAAAATTATATATCATACTTTTTTCAAAATTACTTATATTTTTATTTTTTAAGCAAGTTTAAGAATTTGTTGTGTTTTCCGTGTAAAGTTCAATAATAATTAAGTGGCTATGGTTGAAACTTATTTGATAAAAATTTGAAAAGAGATATCAAGGTAAGATATCTAATGTAATTAAGTAGTTTTCTCTTGGAATATTGTCGTAGAAGATTTGTTCAATTTCTCCTTCTCCAATTTTAATTCCTCCTTAATAGTATGCAAACCACTTTCTTAAATCTACCCTAAACTTATATAATTATTCTCTCCTTGAATTGTTATACTTTCAACTGTGATATTAAATTTGTAAGTAGAACTAATTAAATTTAAAAATATTATATATTAATCCCAATTGTCTTACAAATTATGTTTTCCTTAACCCTAAACCTTTTAAATACATTTCTGATCACGACACTCTCGCTACAGTGAGACATCCCTCGCTGTAGCGACAGGGGCATCGCTAAAGCAAAAATTTCAGAGAAAATTACACTCTGGTTTCTGCAGAATCTCGCTACAGCGAGACTGCAACAAGAAATGCACCCCTCACTGCTGCTCTCTTGCTACAGCGAGAAGACGACAATCTTATACCTCCTCCCAGGGCCTTTTCGCCATAGCAAGATCCCGTCACTACAGCGAGAACACCTAGTTTTACCTACTTAACTTATTTCTCAAACCAATTGTCCAGTCCAATTGCATACAAACACACTTATATGCAATCATATTCATGTCATGCATTTTCACTACCATAACATAATTCAATTATATGGACACATGAAAAACTTCATATACACATATACACAGCAATCTAAATATTATTACAAAATCTGGGATCTTACATACCACACACTTAAGCGCCTAAATCCACTAAAATTTTGCTTTAGCAATTTACATCTAGCTTTAGCCTTAATATTTGTAATATCCTCAATTTCTTCATTCAAAATAAATAAATTTATAGTGAATAAATAAAAAAATATTTTATTCTTATTCATGGATTTGAGAATTGCATAAAAATAAAACGTATACTTTCTTCTCATGAATGTTTTATAAAATTCTAAAACGTTTAAGATTTCCAAAGGAATTATCTGAAACTTAAAAAGTAATAAATAAAACTTAAGTTTACATCTAGTAACTTATTTGGTTTATATTGAATACACACAAATTTAGAGTTTCTATTAAAAACATTTCCAAAATATTCCTTACAACCAAAATTTGCTCAGGTATTTAAGTTCTAAGATCTGATGTTGAAATCATTTACAAACTTTAGTCAACACAAAATATAATTAGATAAAAAAAAATACAATTTCTCAAATTATCCCAGTCCCTATAGAGCAATTTTTCTTCCAATATCCTTGGATTATGATTCTAGGACAGGCCAAACATCTTGACTCTTCAATTTCATTACCTGAAAATATTAGTAAGGGTGAGTATCTCTCACCCTACTAAATCTCTTATTTAACATAGGCAAAATAATCATATATATATATATATATATATATATATATATATATATATATATATATATATACACATTATATAATACTGAAAATATTTTCTAGCATGGATTGAATTAACAATGACACTCAAATTATCCAATTCACCATCACAAAGAAGTACACACAAGACAAACAAACAATCACAATTACCACTTTCATAACATGCGTCTTTCTACTAATCTGTACGTCATAATACATGTATTATACCACGTCAATTAATATGTCACAATATATGTATCCTAATCACACCCATCAATGTATTACAACACATATATCATAACAACATCAACCGATATGTTACAATGCATATATCATAATCATACAACCTTTATACTACTTCATATACATCACATTTATTTCACTTTAATTATTCAATGCTCTTGAGATCCCTTAAGGACTTTATAGCTTAGATAGCCGCTAGTTAGCCCCAGCAACACGGATACACGTGTGTTGATCTGGCCCCTTTTAGCAAAGGTATAATCAGGAGACCCGTCAAGAAATGAGTGTATGACCTATGAATGCCTCCGCTTTCAGCAAATCATTGTGCACTCGTTCACACTAAGCATTCAACACCTATTTTTCCAAGATTTTTTAAATCTTCTTCGAACTCTATACCCCAGTGTATCTCTGTAGCTATCTAAATTCACCACCAATATTTCTCATTCTTTTTCACACCTTTACACAGGGCAACATGTCATAATACGTGAGTCTTGACCCCATAACTTGGTGTATTACAACACATGTATTATGAATACACCCTTTAGATGTACCATAATACCTATATTATAATCATGTCCATTAACTATACTGACTCTCGTAGTATAATCACTTTTCTCACGATTTCATCATCATATCACATCAATAATATAGTTCACTCATTTGACATACTTCAACTATTAAACAACATATACAATAATTATATCATTCATCATGAGAATATCATCAACCAACTTTTTTATTCATAATACTCTAACGTTTTTCATTACAACCTAGTTTAATCAATATCAACATACCACAATCATCAACAAACACTCAACACAGAAAATCCCCAAACAATTCATACATCACACAGGTCAATATAATGTGCTAGAGGTCAGACGCCTCTGAGCTCAGTCCAATCGTATGATTCAACATATACATCTTCTCGGTAATAATAAAGTCGTCTATCCTAAGGTGTAGCATAATCCATTATTCCAAAAACATCAAATAGCATGTCCCGACTACTCTTAACAATGTTTACTTAGTAAATTCATAGTATTCTTCAAGGACTGTTCTATTTAGAGCCTTTATTACACATTACATTTAGATATTTATCAAAGTAGGTAAGGGTTTTCCATTTTAAACTACCCAAGAGAAGTTAGGGTTTGGGATCAACTCCCCTTACCTCGAATCGAAGACCAAAACACGAAATCTATGATAAAATAGCTCTCCACACGGATTTTCATCCCTAAAACATGGAAATCCCCATGAGAAATTGAGAATACAAGGAATAGGGACGAAAAATCTAAAATCCTAACTCACAAACGTACCTCCAAGTGTTCTAAACTCGATTTCAACATTCAATCCAGCTTCCAATCAGCTTGGAGGCAATTTAATCGGTAAGAACGCGTTGAGAATAGAGAGAATCGAAAGGGAAATAAAGGGAGAAGAGTGAGAATATGTTTCCCGAACCCAAGACCCTTCAAATACCTTATAAGTCGCGACACTCTCACTACAACGAGATATTATCTCTGCTGCGAAACATCTCTCACTGCAGCAATACCCTTCTCGCTACAACAAAAATATCAGAGGAAACTGCACTTTGATTTCTACAAAATCTCGCTACAGCGAGGCTCTCTCGCTATAACGAGACTGCACCCAGAAATGCACCGTTCACTATCACTCTCTTGCTGCAGCAAGGGACCTCTTACTCCATTCTGCTAAGACTTTCTCGCTACAACGAGAATACCTTAGAAATACACACTTAACCTATTTTCAATTAGTTCAGTACATCTAATTTCAATGCACAATCAGCATCCACATTCATCACATATACAGACATATATCCACATTATGTATTCACACCACCATCCAATACACATTATTATCACATACTCAAACACACAAACACATGGCAATTCCTATATATATATATAGTAATTAAAATATTATTACAAAATTTGAGACGTTACAATATTCATTTAAATAAATGTTTTCTACATCACTTTTGCTTCAACTAGTATTTATGTGCTTAAACAATTTATGTAACACCTTAAATTTCCTTTAAATAGTAAACATTATTTTCATGGCTGATAAAAATAAATTCATTTCTATTCATGGAATTAATAATAGAATAAAGATAGAATTTTATAAAAATTTCATAAAACTCCAAAAGAAGTTAAGCTTCCAAGGGTAAAAACTTTAAAACTTTAAAATAATCAAATAAAACTCAACTTTACTTCTGACAAACCATTAAGTTCATTTTGAATACATATAAATTCTGAATTTCCACCAAGAACATTTCCAAAATGTTCTCTACAACCAAAAATCTGCTTGAGGATTTAAATTCTGAAATTTAACATTAAGGTCATTTACAAATTTTGGTCAACCCAAATTATAATTTAATAAAACAATACAATTTCTCAAACTATTTTAATCCCTACAGAGCAGTCTTCCTTCCAACACCCTCATTTTATGATCCTAGGACGGGTCAAACATATTTATTTCTTCACATCCATTTTCTAAAAAATATTAGTAAGGGTGAGTATATCCCGTCGCACTAAATCTCTAGTTTAACATAAGTAAATACTCACATGCGTGTACAGTACTAAGAATACCACCCAACACGGATTAAATCAACAATAACGCTTAATCAACCAAGTTACCATTACCAGGAAGCATGCACAGAACAAACAATCAATCATGCTCACAACTTCATATCATACATCTTTCTACTTATTTGCACGTCATACTACATGTATTATACCACGTCAATCAATATGTCACA